ATTTCACCACTGGTTCATAATTAAAAGTCGTGATACCGAATAAAATTTCTATATCGTTATATTACAAATTTTCCGTTCATGAAAGTTGTTACCATAATGTAGCAATTTTCGGTCCGACATTTTAAGCTTCCTTTAAAGGTTTACGTTAAACAAAATTTTATTCCTAACTCCAATACAATTCTGTAATAACGCGTCGCCCTTTTTGTTTACAATGAAAACTTAAACTCTACACGATTAACTTTTCCTTTTGTTAACAAAAGAGTTGCTATTTCATTCCATTGGTTTTATATTTCCAAAAAAAATCAGAAAGAACATATTTTGAGTGAATATAAAGCCCCGTTTACACTACAATGAATTTATCGGCACGGCACGGCTAAAATGGGCACACGTACCCAATTTTATCAGTGTTCAGGCTACCAAAACAAAGGCCGAGTACAGATGAAATGGGAACGGGTACCCATTTTAGCCGTGCCGTGCCAATAAACTGAGTGTAGTGTAAACGGGGCTTAAGGGACTCAGAACACAACTAAAAAAACGTACGAATTATCTTCACTGCCCTAAATCTTCGACTAATCATCTTAAAAAGCGCCTCGATTCAACGAGACGTGCAATGCTTGCAATTTTTTCCGTAAAGAGTGATTTGAGCTAAAGTTGGTCCTGCCGAGATTTGAACTCGGATCGTTGGATTCAGAGTCCAAAGTGCTAACCATTACACCACAGAACCAGATTGAGATTGGCTTTTAAACGCATTTTTTTCATCCATGATTATAACAATGCAAATAAAACTGTTCACGATGAATTTTTCCATTCAAACTAGCGTGCAAATTTTTTACTTCTATATGATTTTCTTCATTTTCTCCACCTATTTGCTACCCTTTTATTCGTAAGAAAAAGTACAATGATGTGTCGAATATTGTCATATCTTGCGTTGATGGTGTAATGGTTAGCATTGCTGCCTTCCAAGCAATAGATCTGGGTTCGATTCCCGGTCAACGCATATTTGCTTTTTGGTCTTCAATCTTCATCATTTCTGTTTGAAGGAAAATATTGCATGTTTTTAGGCCGACAATAGAAATAAAATTTTTCCCTTTGTTAACAAAACAGTTGCTATTTCATTCCATAGGTTTTATATTTCCAAAAAAAATCAGAAAGAACAAATTTTGAGTGAATTTACGGGACACCGAAAACTACCAAAAAACGTTCGAATTATCTTCACTGCCCTAAATCTTCGACTAATCATCTTAAAAAGCGCCTCGATTCAACGAGACGTGCAATTCTTGCAATTTTTTCCGTAAAGAGTGATTAGAGTTAAAGTTGGTCCTGCCGAGATTTGAGCTCGGATCGTTGGATTCAAGGTCCAAAGTGCTAACCATTACACCTCAGAACCAACGTGAGGTTGGGTTCGAAACGCATTTTTTTAATCCAGGATTATAACGATGAATATAAAACTGCTCACGATGAATTTCTCGATTCAAACTAGCGTGCAACTTTTTTCTCTCTATGATTTTCTTCATGCTCTCAATCTATTTGCTACCTTTGATTGGTAACAAACAGTACAATGATGTGTCAATTATTGTAATATCTTGCGTTGATGGTGTAATGGTCAGCATTGATGCCTCCCAAACAGCAGCTCTGCGTTCGATTCCCGGTCAACGCATATTCCTATTTGGGTCTTCATCATCCTCTGTTTAAAGGAAAATATTGCATGTTTTTAGGCCGAAAATGGAAATTAACTTTTCCTTTTGTTAGCAAAAGAGTTGCTATTCCATTCCATCGGTTTATATTTCCAAAAAAAAAAATAAAAAAAAATATTTTGAGTGAATTTACGGGACTCAGAACACTACAAAAAAACGTACGAATTATTTTCACTGCCCTATAGTTCGACTAATGATCTTAAAAAGTGCTTTGATTCAACGAGACGTGCAATGCTTGCAATTTTTTCCGCGAAGAGTGATTAGAGTTAAAATTGGTTCCGCCGAGATTTGAACTCAGATCGTTGCATTCAGAGTTCAAAGTGCTAACCATTACAAAAGAGAACCAAATTGAGATTGGTTTTTAAACGCTTTTTTTCATCCAGGATTATAACGATGGCTATAAATCTGTTCACGATGAATTTCTCCATTCGAACTAGCGTGCAATTTTTTATTTCCATGATTTTCTTCATTCTCTCCATCTATTTGCTACCCTTTGATTTGTAACAAAAAGTACAATGATATGTGGAGTATTACCATATCTTGCGTTGATGGTGTAATGGTTAGCATTGTTGCCTTCCAAGCAGTAGATCTAGGTTTGATTCCCGGTCTACGCATATTCGCTTGTGGGTCTTCATCATTTCTGTTTGAAGGAAAATATTGCATGTTTTTAGGCCGACAATAGAAATTAATTTTTCCCTTTGTAAAAAAAACCGTCGCTATTATATTCCATTGGTTTTATATTTAAAAAAAAATCAGGAACAACATATTTCGAGTGAATGGAATTTACGGGACAAAGAACACTAGCAAAAAACGTTTGAATTATCTTCACTGCCATAAATCTTCGACTAATGATCCTAAAAAGGGCCTCGTTTCCAAGAGACGTGCAATGCAGCCAATAATTTTTTGCTGGAAAGCGTGATTTGCGTTAAAGATGGTCGTAGGTCCTGCCGAGATTTGAACTCGGATCCTTGGATTCAAAGTCCAAAGTGCTAGCCATTACACCACAGAACCAACTTGAAGTTGGTTTCGAAACGCAATTTTTTCATCAAGGATTATAACGATGCATATAAGTCTGTTCACCATGAATTTCTCCATTCCAACCAGGCTGCAATTTTTTTCTATCTCTGATTTTCGTTATTCTCTCCATCTATTTGCTACCTTCGATTTTTAACCATAAGTACAATGATGTGTCGAACATTACCATATCTTGCGTTGATGGTGTAATGGTTAGCATTGCTGCCTTCCAAGCAGTAGATCTGGTTTCGGTTCCCGGTCAACGCATATCCGCTTTCGGGTCTTCATCATCCTCAATTTGAATGAAAATATTGCATGGTTTTACGCCGACAATAGAAATTAACTTTTGCCTTTGTAAACAAAATCGATACTATTTTATTGCATTGGTTTTATATTTCCAAAAAAAATCAGGAACAACATATTTCGAGTGAATTTACGGGATACAGAACACTTGCATAAAACATTTGAATTATTTTCACTGCCATAAATCTTCGACTAATCATCATGAGAAGTGCCTGTTTCTCACGTGACGTGCAATCCTTCCAGTTTTTTTGCGTGAAAGCGTTATTTGCGTTAAAGGTGGTCGTAGGTCCTGCCGAGATTTGAGCTCGGATTTACTAGTAGAATTCAAAGTCCAAAGTGATAACTATTACATCAGAGAACCAAGTTGAGATTAGTTTCGAAAGGTATTTTTTTCACCCATGATTATAACGATGCATTTAAACCTGTTCACCATGAATTCACAACAACAGCAATAAAAATTGCGGGAAAGTGTTCCAAACTCGTTATGTCACTCCTAAACATGACATACGGAAAATACGCGCACTGCACCCCGTGGATGTAGTGGTGTATGAGTTCTACTGAATTCCACCACTGAATAATAAATAAATAAGCCACATTATTGTCGACGTCTAATGCAATGTATGCAATCACTCGAGTGTTTAAGCACTACTTCATTCTCCCTTTTAGTCATTATCATATGGCAACAACGATCTATAAAATTAAATGGCTAATTGAGAATTTTGAGAGCAATGGCTGAAAGAAAGGGAAGAGAGAGAGGGGGAAAGAAAATCCATGCATGAAAACGAGTCCTCTGACGTTTGTTTAAAAAAGTTGTAGCTTTTTTCTTTTTTCAATTATTGGATAATTCAGTGAAATGTCGTGGTCAACATGCAATGAGACTTTAAATGCGCACATGCACTTTGCGAGCATAGCATGACATATTCGATGAATATAGAACAAGGTTTATTATAACAAATCCAAAGATTTAATACATATTAAATTTTCAACGAGAGATATTTGAGTAGCGTAGCTATGCAGCCCGACAATTTGTCCCGCTATGCTAATATTTTGGTGTTCATTGATTGTGAGAACAATGAATTTCTAAGGACACGAATAATTATAATAACTCAAAATTTACATAGCACCTACGGGACAAAAATGTAAGGCTGGCTATGCCATTTGATGTCAAAAACTCGTCCCTCTAAGAAGTCGAGAGTGATTCGCGAATCGTCTGAAACGTGTTCCAAAGAATTTTGAACATTTCCAAACTTGTAATTTCCGCATATATTAGCGAAATTAACAAAATTCTGCGGATTTTTAAATTTTTTTTTGAAAAATAGCTTTTTTTGCGGACACAATTCCACTGTCCGCATAAAAAGGATTTTTGTCTTAGAGGTATAAGGATTCCACTGTCCGTCGGTTTCAAACAGATAGGCGGGGTGTCTGAATTTCGGAAACCCCTATACCTCAATTTGAGAGACATATAGGGGTGTCCGAATTTCGGAAACGCTATATATCTCAATGTGAGAGACATATAAGGGTGTCCGAATTTCGGAAACCCCTATATCTCAATTCGAGAGAAATATAGGGGTGTCCGAATTTCGGAAACCCCTATATCTCAATGTGAGAGACATATAAGGGTATCCGAATTTCGGAAACCCCTGTATATCAATGTGAGAGACATATAAGGGTGTCCGAATTTCGGAAACCCCTATATCTCAATGTGAGAGACATATAGGGGTGTCCGAATTTCGGAAACCCTTATATCTCAATGTGAGAGACATATTGGGGTGTCCGAATTTCGGAAACCCTTATATCTCAATGCGAGAGACATATAGGGGTGTCCGAGTTACGCAGTGCATTGTATCTACAATTATTCGGGTTATATTCTCTACGCAAGTCGAATGGGCAATGGTCAAGTGAAACCAATTTAGAAGTATATTTTGTAAATTGCAAAGGAACATCTTGACAATTTAAAAAGTAAGTTGTCTTAATTAAATTTTCGTTATTGAATGTTTTCGCACGTAGAGCCGGGAATACCCAGCACACAATGAAGATATATAATATATATATAGATTTATAGGTTCTAAAGTTCTTTCAACTTTCGCCTGGCCTCTCGTTCCTCCTCTTCTGTTTTTACCAGAATGAGGCAATTGCGTTTGATCGTGACTGCTGCAACACCGCCAGCTGCAAGAAAAAGATTTGACAAAGATGATAATAAATGTTCAATACTGTACCAGGCGGGAAACGTATTATATTATTTACATATATATAACGTATTATATATACCTTCGGGTAAATTAACATCCAATATCCAGTCACCCGAGTGACTGAACATTTCTACCAGCCGCAAACATGTCTCAAATTCTCTGTTTGCCGAATTGACACAAATGAAGTTTGGGACCTTGCCAAACGTGAAGTTGAAGTGTTCTGGCAGAATTCGCCCAGATACCGAAGCATGCATGAAGACAACAAATGCTTCAACAGCCTCGTTCATGCCTGCTAATATATTCCCTACAGAGGGAAAAAGGACAACGATTAACCATTAGCTACAGTATTCTGCTACATGAATTGCGTACACAGTAACATTTTCTGCATTGTTTGGACAGAAGGAGGCCAGCCGCTCTGCTTGTGTTTGTCAACATAACAGGAAATTGCGAGTGAAATTATACACACTTCAAATTTAAATTAAAGCAAAATGAGTCAGCTATAGGTCCCCGGCAGGCTACGCTTTTACGTGCATCGAAACCCCTAAAATTTACGTGCATCAAGTGAAGTGCCAAAAATCATGCTTGATTGTGGATATATACTCCACAAACTGGAACAATCAGGAACACACACCACATGGTTGGCGGTTGCCTAACAAATTACTAACTATCATCTGTTTAAATTTATTTTTTACGCCCCTTAATTTACAAAAAACTTTTCAATACTCATGACGTTCCCCTTTTGCCCATAAAAACCTAAATTTGTGTTTTCATGGCATTCACGCATTGCCTGTATGCATATCGCTTAAGCGCAAGGCTATAAAAGGCATTTATTAATTTATATATAGTACTTTATTGATATCAAAACAGTCTCGCCGGGACAAAGGTCTTGTATAATAAGGAGAGTGTTTATATACATTGGTCACATACATGCAGTGGCGTAGCCAGCCTAAAGATTTTGTCCCGCTATCTAAATTTCAAGTTATTATAATTATTAATGCCTTTATAAATTCATTGTTTTCACAGTCAATGAACACCAAAATATTAGCATAGCATGACAAATCGTCGGGCTGCCTACGTTACTGCATACATTCAGCTGCATACTCGTACTTTACTCGTACTACGACACCGACATAGTCATTTTATTCAATCCCTATAAATAATGACATGCCTACTTCGTTTTTTCTCGGGCAAACAGGGATCATATACGAAGCGCCAATGAAACAAAATGAAAACGCAGCGCGAAAATGGAATTTCAGCGGTAACCAAATATAGATAACGACAGTCTCAAGCAATTTGATCACACATATAACTATATATACATGTGCATAGCATGCCTTTAAATAAGGCCTTTATATATGCTATATTTTTCTTCCTGCCTATAGCTTTGCTCTTAAAAAGGAGGTTTTTTTCTTTCTACCAACTATAAATCCGAGAAGACTAAGGCTAGCTAATATCAAAAAGTTTTCAAAATATCGAAACTTAATACATACCTTGAGAGGCTTATTATCCTCATTTTTCACGCCGGCAGCACTGATGATACTCGACGCCTGTCTTTGCTAGCGGCTTTCCAGCAACATATACATACGCCTTTCCTTGCCTGACGCAAACCGACCACTTTTTCATTTGTGGCATATCTATATATATAAACTCTCTCTCAAAACTACTGGCATTGACAATTGAAGCTCAATATGTTGGATGTGGGAAGAGCGCGCGTGCGAAGTATATCAGATGAACATTACACCTGGTCAAAGCGGTAAACTCAACCAATAACAAAGAAAGTTTTTTCTGTTGTCAGAGAGTTAATTAATAGGAATATCTTAATCCAATCAGTGGACTATAAAATAAAACAGGTTGTCAGACAACAAGGAATCACCTTCGAGCTTCGGCGCAATTTACTGATATACCATATATATGAACCAATATCACCAGCATTGTCTTTATTATCTACGAATAAGAAAGGACAAGCGTCAGCCACCAGCAGCTCACCCGGTTTTGATATAAGATTTAGTGACAGTGAAAAATCATCTCCTCTCATGATTCAGAGGCAAAAAGTAAGAGCATCATGAATTAATAATGCCATATAATTATACATATATTTTTTTTTTTCCCCTATCTTATGTATACAGTTTCAAACTCACTTGAAGCTTCTCCTTCATCAATCCCAACTAGTACAGATCTGCGCGAAGAATTTTCTTCACCATTTTCTGTTGGGTTAAGTAGCGACGCAAATGGATCCTTTATGATCCTTTATGATCTTATATGAAACTAAGCTAAATAGAAAGGCATTGGCGATTGCTATATATATTTTATCATATTTGGTTTTTGAGTGAAAATTTGGTTTCAGGTTTCAGAGCGATTTCTTAATTTGTGCTCTATTATGTGAAATAAGAATGCAAATTTTTGTTATTTGATTTTAGATCTTTCGTGTAATCTTTTGCCACACGATACGCCGTTAGCATATGTACCAAGTAGGAGCCCAAAAAAAGTCTAGAGAGCTTTACAATACGATTCAACCGATAGCAGTGGTAAGCGATAAATTTTTATGATATTTTGCAAGTTATTTTATTATATAAACACGCGATAATAATACTTCTGTATCCTGAGACACCATTCTGCAAATTTTCATATACCAAGCCGACTTTGCGTGCGCGCAACAATTAAAATATTTGGTCACTGAGGATTTACAGTTACATTATTCCCGGCGCTTGTTTGTGCGTGAATCAATATGTTAGATTATAATTTTGTTCCCCAAGACCAGAAAGGCGTAAAGATTGTTAAATATATAAACCAATGAATCACAGGCTGTAAAAAAACGCAATCACCAATATATTCATGAATATTTAAGTGAATATTAAGCGGATTTTTATGATCTTTGGCACTCGATCAAGTTCTAAAGTTCAAAGGGTCTTTATTTCGGGTGGAATTATACGTTTGAAGACGCTGCCACGCTGCTCCCTGGTTATATTAGCACATAACTTCATACATGCTAGAGTACTCATTTAATTATTTTAAAGACACACGTGGGGATAAATGGAACACCATACCCATGTAAATGAGAATGGATACTTTCGATTTTAGGATAAGGCGTTTTTCCATTACGGGCGAAGCGCGCTTAGATTTTTAAAGTAAAATAAAACGATCGGGGCTGTATATATCTAAGCACTGCTAATGCATGTCAACTTGCAATTCGATGATGACATGCAGTTTTTCCGCCAATACATACAAAGCTAAAATGTGTCACCAACAACAGCTAACACTATATGATTAAACCCAGAACTGGATACTTTATACATATAAAGGGTGCGGATAAATGCATGTAGTTCAGGGACACCATGATAAACATAAAATCTTTAATTCAAATCAAAATGCCAAAATTCATTAAAATGGCAAAACGGATAATTTATACGCTATCAGTCGCGCCTAACTAAACTTTTAGTAATATTTTAAAACTCTCAAAATATGTCAAAATTTTCAATAGGACTAAGATATTTTCTTTGCGCATATTTCAGTAAAAAATGATTCGGAGGAATTAGCTCGAGACTGGTTTGTGAAGTTTTGAATTCAAGTTGCATTACTGGAAAGGTACATATACCACGACCTGGCAACCCTTTATGGTTACGAGCAAAGATGGTGAAATATACCTTGGACAGACACTCTTCTAAAAGATTCAGTCATTCTCTGCTCGTTCGAACTTGACGATAACAGCCATCTCCAAGAAAATACCAGAAAATATTTAAAACGGTGGTATCGGGAGGAAGCTAAAAGGGCTAAGGGTCTGGATTAATTTAAAAAACAAGATATTTTCAACGCTTGTACCTATAATTATACAGACGCAAGATGCTAAATTTTTAAGTGCAGAACCATTGGAGAATATTACCCTCAATATCATTATCGCATGCTAACTAAAATGTATGCCAACATTCAAATGACTCATTTATCTTCAGGAATAATCACTGATATGAATAATAAAAACTCCCTAAGTATGGACTGCATTGTTTTGAGCTTTTATATTAACCCATTAACCCATTGTAGATACAGTGCACTACGTTACTCGGGCACCCCTATATGTCTCTCACGTTGAGATATAGCTAGGGGTTTCCGAAATTCGGACACCCTTATATGTCTCTCACATTTAGATATAAGGGTTCCGAAATTCGGACACCCCTATTTGTCTCTCGCATTCAGATATAGGGTTTCCGAAATTCGGACACCCCTATATGTCTCTCACATTGAGATATAGGGGTTTCCGAAATTCGGACACCCTTATATGTCTCTCGCATTGAGATATAAGGGTTTCCGAAATTCGGACACCCCTATATGTCTCTCACATTGAGATATAAGGGTTTCCGAAATTCGGACACCCCTATTTGTCTCTCACATTGAGATATAAGGTTTCCGAAATTCGCACACCCTTATATGTCTCTCGCATTGAGATATAGGGTTTCCGAAATTCGGACACCCTTATATGTCTCTCACATTGAGATATAAGGGTTTCCGAAATTCGGACACCCCTATATGTCTCTCGCATTGAGATATAGGGGTTTCCGAAATTCGGACACCCTTGTGTATTTGTAAAAATTCTACTGGTAAGTATAGTTTTCGTAAGTATTAACTTTTCCTCAGATTTTCTCGCTTTTTATTGATTTTGGAGCCATAGTTGGTTCATTCCGCTAGTATTTTCGAAAAACAGTAAAAACGAGGCCATATTTTTCTTACTCCGCGAGAAATAGGCTTTTTCACCAACGAAATTTTAACATATATCCGCAAGAAAATGACTTTTATAATGAAACTGACAGTGAAGTCCGCTGGATTTAGCAATTTAATGATATTTTTGCGGGAAAAAATCAAAATTCCGCAGAATTTAGCAAAATTTGGCTAATTTTGGCGGAAATTTAAAGTTTGGAAAATGACAAATTTCATTGGAAGGCGTTCTGACTATTTAGCAGGTCAAGGTCCGTCTAAGAAGTCGAGAGCGATTCGCGAATCGTATGACTATTTAACAGGTCAAGGTTTCGTTCATTAGTGACACTCAAATTTAAAGGGTGAATTATTTGTATATCTCAGATTGATGTTTATGTTAATAGACTGTTATAACAATCGATTTGGAAAGAAATTGATGAAGAGCAAAATAAATTTAAAAATATGTGCCGTTGTCTCCAATTATTGTGCTTCCTATTCGTCAGCGTTACAAACTTATATGTAACACTATAGTCATAGCGTCGTACTAAAAATTATTCCAAAGTCATGCTTTGTCTATATATGCTCTTATAACTTTAGCACTTCTAAACTGTATGGATATTACTATAGAGAATTTACTCTCGTGCAAAAAATACTGAATTAAATACTAAACTCTAATTATGTTTTTCAAAGAGATATTTAGTTCGATTGAAAGAAGATCTTTCTCAAACGTAAACACATTCATTTCTCACAGTGACGTGATCTTGGGTATTAATCTCTCTTCGCAAGTCTTCGCCCTTTACTTCATGCAAATTGATATACGATTTCTGAAAATAAATATATTGTTATCTTAATTGTAATATTAGTTGTATGATCGTTACATAGATAGCTGTAACAATTAGGCGTGTCTATATCCTCAGCAAAATCGCGAGTTATACATAGTGAAGAAACTAAAACTAGAAGGCTGGCTTCCAATCCCGACATGTATAAGCGTAGGCATTAGAAAAGGCAAAAAGAGAAACAATGAAACGCAATGAAACATGCAGCACTCGAATCGACATTAGCTCTAGACTTATAAAACATAGGCCAGTACTATAAAAGACAAAATGAATTTCAAATATATAAATTTCCTGCTTTTTCTTTTACATATACTTTATTTAATTAAGTCGGGATGCTTCATCTTTTACGCTTATGTTATGCAATAGTGAAAACAGGCTTTATAGTTCTATGTATATGAGCTTACTTGGTTATCGGTTAACATGTCATGAAGATGTTGTCGTATTTCCGAGAAATTTGGTCGCTTTTTTTCATGATCGCGCCAACAGTTCATCATTATTTCATACCTGAATAGAAATCAAAGAAAATATTGGGTTTTAAGGGATATAGCAAAAAAATATTTCTAATTTGTTGAAAAGAAAATTTTCAAAGCAGGGTTGCCGTTTAAAAAATAACAACTACATATGCATGTTCACGCTTTAGTATCGAACTCTTACAATTCAAACGTTTTAATTTGAGATAAGTGCAATTGTAATGCCATGAGACTGTCACTTCGCTAGATAGTTAATTTGAAATCACAAAACAAATTTTCATCCTGATTATGACGTAATGTATAATTATCAGGGTAAGAATATGCAAGTCAAAAATGGCGTATAGAAAATAATTTCATTCGAAAATATCAAGAGAGGTAATAAATTTATAATAATCATAATGTTCTTTTAAAATAGAGAAAGATCTTTTTTATTGCTGTAACCCTTAAAGGCAATTTTGAGATAAATAAGCGGTCCTAAAAATCGTGAGTATTTTTGCAGATTGCTGAAAAAACTAATTTTACTTACATTTCATTTGAGCAATTAAACGGTTTCGGCAATCGGCAACCGCGATTGATATGATCTTGCATTTCAAGCGGAGATATCTCGCTGTATGGTTCCCCACCTGTCCAAGCGTTATTTTTGTTAAAAAGGTTTGAAAATATACGCAGCATGTATGCGTACTATATATATATATATATATATATATATATATATATATATATATATATATATATATATATATATATATACACCCATTTGCAAAAACGTTGGCCGCATATAGATAGATAGATAGATAGATACTCAAGATCTAATTAGAATTGCATATGTTGTGTAATATTATAGAAATCCCATGCAAACGTAATCATATGCAATTCTAATTAGACTTCGAGTATCTATCTATCTATCTATCAGCGGCCAACGCTTTTGCAAATGGGTGTATATATATATATATATATATATATATATATATTAATATATATATATATACAGTCGTTATCAAAAAGGTTGTCCCGATCAATATATATATAAATATATAAATATCAATCACGTGACCATTAAACATGCCTTATTTTGATCACTTATCACTTGTTTCTTTATTATTACAATATTGTTCACCTTACTATGACATTTAAGAAATTTTCACGACAGATTTCCAACGATTTCTCATAAAATTAACGTATGTAGTAAAATCACGTGACCGATATTTACGTATTTATATATATTTCCATTTGACAACCTTTTTGATAACGACTGTATATATATATATATATATGTATATATACATATATATATATATACATATATATATACATATATATATATATATATATATATATATATATATATATATATATATATATATATATATATATATATATATATATATATATATATATATATACATAAAAGAAGTAAAAGACACGGTTTTCTGTGGTTTATAGCATACAGTTCTGTTTCGTACAGGACTAGCCTGCACTCCTCAGTGCTATTTAGTGCAGGCTAGTCCTGTACGAAACAGAACTGTATGCTATAAACCACAGAAAACCGTGTCTTTTACTTGTTTTATTTCGCTCTACTTAACGGTATTGAGCACTCTGGATACGCTAATAGAACTCTTAATAGAAATATATATATAGGTAGCCGGGAGGGCACATTGTTTTACACATGTTGATATATATATATAATATATTATATTATATATATTAATATATATATATATATATATATATATATATATATATATATATATATATATATATATATATCACCATTATGGATTGATATTCACCATTATGGATTGAAGGAGACTATAATTAAAAATAATAATTCGTGTCATGCATTTCAACGAGTTTACCTATCCTAAATAGTGGATACGATTTTCCTCGACGGTCTTAGAAAGAGAAACAGTAAATGGGGAGGAAATTGGACAGGCATCTAATCGAAAGGGTATAAAAGGGGCGCAGGAAATCCCCATGCAGCTGTTTAGAAAGAATCTGTACAAAAGATTCGTTGGTTGTATGGCTAAAAATTTTTTAGGTTGAATATAGCAAATTCTTATCCCAGGCATTTTGTACGACCCGAAAGATTCATGAACATATATTGCAAGTTCATATTTTCTCGACTCAAAATTTTAGTATATCGATAAACTTACCTAAAGTTACCAATTCATACAGAAAAACGCCAAAACTCCATCTAAAAATTTGAATAGAAATTATTGCCTAAATTTAAAAAGACCTCACCGAAAGTTATATTGGGACTTACACATCACTAGAAATTGTGAAGCGACCATAAAGTAAACTTTCCAAAGCCATCCATTTAATAGGTAGTAGATCCTACAAGAATCATTGCAACAAATTAATTTTAAACACTTATTAATTTTGTAGTTTCATGAATGTTATCTACCCCAAAAAATTTTGGTTTTAAATTACATTCCTACATTTATTATACGTTCACGCCCAACTGAGCCCAAACACCGCATTACCTACGCTCACTTTAAAACGTTCAATTCGCTTATATACCAGTGTAGTTCGCACGTACACATACAGAGCAGCTAGCAACATTTTTTTTGTCATAACCAGGAAATATACGAAGACATTTTAAAGTTTGGAATAGTGAACTGATGTATACAGGATATGCAAGAGCCTGCTTGGCTGCATGCGCAAAGTTCTTTCTATTAAGAATATCAGAAACTTTTTTCACTATCATTGCTGCTTAACAGTTGTCAATTGCAAGGTATAAAGCTCGGTGAATTTTGCATTTTGTTTCCTGAACTGCATTATTCAATAACCTTCAGCACGAAGCCCGTCCGTAGTATGATTTCACTTTTATATATTTTTAAAATTAATTATACCTGGTTTGTTCGTATGTATTCCTCAACATTTGCAATATCCCTTGTCAGCCCGAAGTCTGAAATTTTTGCCACATCACAGCTAAGGAGAATATTTCTTGCAGCCAAATCACGATGAACGAACTGAAATGCATGAGGGCTTTTAAGGTGGATTGATAAATTGCCTTTCTTTTTATAGTCATATTGATTGCAGGGAAAAACTACCGTGCATCCCATCCTAATATAGGCGATCTACGTGTATTACACAATTCTGCTACCATATCTTTTCAATAATACCTATTTTTATACAGTAGAAACTAAATATGTCTGATATGTTGATTATTGCGTTTAAGGGTAAAATTGCAACGAACTGTCTAACTTTGAAATCGTATGCAACAAATATGTTCACCTTCAGATCGGAAAGATGCACCATTCCACTTGCTACATCCAAACCCATTTTCAATAGTTCACGACCACTTACAGTCGATATCATTTGAACATTTCGCAAGTCAGATGTAGTGGAGTTGTCATCGACTTTACTTTTTCTGAGAAAGGTTTGCAGATTACCTGGAGAGCAGTACTCTGTTACAACCATTAGTTTCCCTAAAACAAATGAACATGCATTATCCGTCATCTAACAAAAACTTTTACAAATTCAAAAGCTATACCTAAAATGATAATTTCATAGTTCGAAGCCGTAGCCAGGCAAAAGCACGTACGAGTATATTCTTTAATAACATATTTACAGATATTACCTTTCGAAAAACAACATCCGATCAATCTTACAATATTTGGGTGTAGGTCTTTGTTAATTCTTTTCAAGGTTTCTAACTCAGTTATCAGATCTGATAGATCAAGTTCCGTGGCGTTTTCTAAACATAAGTGTTAACTAAGAGTCTAAAACTTTAATACAACGAGCAATAAAATACAGTTGTGAAATTTGTGAGTATCATATACCGATCGCTGCGCAGTATTTTTGTCACATGTGTACATCTGTAATTCTCAATAAAGGTATTTTGATCATTAATAATTCATATAATTATTAACTTTGATGAAACTAAACTTAATTAATATAGTCATAACTTTGTTACACACATGCCCTAATATGCATATTGCATTAACGCTTGATCTATTCATTTCAAAAGCACGTAAAATACTCTTGGCCGATCTGTATGGGATTTACAATGGCTCATTCTACGCAGACGGCATTGTATCATTCCCATGTAGATCCGCTGCTCCTAGTTTAGCTACTTAATTAATATAGTTACTTTCACTGCTTTTCCTCCTACTTTTCCTCCTACCATATTGATATAGTTCAATATATTAACTTCTTCTCTCTTATAGAGTTAAATGAAAGAGGGAAAGGGCATATGCTCCCTTTCAGTTGAGTGTTGCTGCCCAACAAGAAAGGGATTTTAGATTGGTGGTGTTAAAATTCATAAAAAGTGAAAGATTTTTTGATAATAAATTCACCCATTATTTACCTTTTAACATTTTGACAGCAACCTTTTTGTGTTTTTCTTCCTGAAGAGACGTGTATAACCCTTGCTTTACGATGCCGAATTGACCTGATCCAAGTGTCTCGTTCAAAATCTGCAAACGGTCTAGGCAGATTTCCCAGTCTTTTAAGATCGTAATGTACGAAATTTCGCCAGGCAGAGGTACTAAAACGTGGAATTATATCATGGAATTATGTCCAAAAAATACATCAAAAATACGATGTGTATTGCGTAGAGAAGGTGTTTACAAAAAAATTACCGTTATATTCATTTATTTCCCCAAAATTAACGAACCCATCTTGTGTAGTATGTTCACTTTCCTGGCGGGATTGATATTCCTACCATAGATAAATAACATAATCCTTAACAGGATCTTTGTGAAAAAGACCTGTATTTTCATTTGACACATCTAGCTCTCATAAATAAATAAAATTTAGGTTCAGAGGGAGGTCTTACTGAGGTTATTTGAATTTTACTTCCTTTATTTCGTCTTCGCATTAAGAAAAGATAAATAATCACTGCAAGGCCAACGAATGTAACGGTTCCGGCTAATCCTCCTGCAATAGCGGGCATATTGCGCTGAGACTTCTTAGCTTCAGGGGTAATAGATTCCTCGGTAACTTCACTCTGTATTGTTATATTGTAATAGTAAGCAGCTTCACCAACAATGCCAATATCAACAGCCTCGATTTTCACAGTGTACACTCCAGATTCATCTGAAAAATAAACAGGCCTGAAGAAAAAGGAAGAAATATTCGATCACGGCTATCAACCAGGATCTTCATAAGCGCGAGAGCAGGGCTGCACATCCGTCGAGATTAAAAGAAATGAAAAAACGAAAATACTGAAACCACATAAAGAATGAAAGAAAAAAGTTCAGAAATAATCTCTGCAATATTCCACAAGAGCCTGAATGGCATTCTAGATCAACTGCATGCATGGTATTATCCAAGTTTATCTGGAATACTATTTCAAAATACTCTTTCTACTTCAAAGTATTCCAATGCTGGAGCATAACGAGGAGAAATATGTTTCGCTCAGCTTCTAAATAATATTAACGTGGTAAATGTATTCTTACTTGCAAAATCGTGGATAAACGGACTCGTTGCAACCTGTGGTTTCCGAAAAGTATCGTTTCCATTTTCTCTCAAGGACACTAAGTAGTGTTCGGCATAACCAGCAAAAACCTCCGTTGGCAACCATTTAACGATCATCATGCTTCTATTAACAGCCACTGAAACGTTTCTAGGTTTACCTGGCGACGGTCCTGAAAAAATTTTGAAAATATCATCGTTATCATAATTTGTGTGAGAATGGCCTTAAAATCGGAAAATAATTAAAAAAGTTTGTTTGAATTTCAATGACAATGCAAGATTTGATAACATTTTTTGAAAAAAAAAGAGTCTAGTAATACCTAGCACTATAATTGGGGGGACTGTTCATGTATTTAAGTTATCGGTTATGTTAATATTATATTCATGTTCATATATTCATGTTCAGTTTGTTAATATGAATATACGAACATGTCTCCTCATCTTATTTATCTATGCTGGCTATACACCACTGCATACCATGTGAAAGAGGGTTTAAATCATAGCCCCCAGGGTAACCAAATGAAGATTGATAGTTCCATCCAAACACAATGAGACCGAACTTCACCGAGGAAGAAGTGTGGTATATTGCAACCTTGCTTAGATCTGGTAGATTTATCACTGTCCAAACATATTTCGATGCATTGATGCCTCTCCAATCTAGATCACTCAATTTCAGCCCATCCGCATGTAAACCATTGACGTTTTTCTGTTCTATAACTATTGTGATAGAGTAGGAAATTTGTAAATCAAACGGAAGGACAACGTGATATAACGAAAGAAACTGGTTTACTGCAGGAAGAGCCATCATTGACCATATTCTATTCTTCCAAAAAATTGATTCGCTTCGGATATACTGAACAACTTGACATGGCTTATTGCACTTAATATATGAAGCTAAATCTTTATTTAGGGTCAACTCCACGTATGACCCAGATGACAACACTTTTGTCCAGTATGAACATTGGACAACAGTATTATTTTGTGAGGCAAAAATACGAAAAATGTCTCCGTGTTTTTTTTCCGTGGTTCCTATTGTTGTCAAGATGTATTCATAGCCCCACAAATAAGTCGGCAAAAGTGTCGCTTCTAGGAAACTGTATGATCCACGCAATCTGCGATCATCAACGCCTGATATCACGGTCATTGGTGACCTTGAAACAACGAGTGTTCCAGATAAATCTTCTTTACTAGAGACGTATAACACATTACGTTTTGTAGGATAAATATATAAGATACGCCTTCTATATTCATCAATTATCCCACCGTTAGAGCGATAAGTTATATTTTTTCCAATAGTAATCATAACACGAAAGCTGTGCACTGCTGGTATGACAGCAAGATTTGAAGTGCAATTAGTGCAAAATGGTAAATATGATGCTGCATAATAGGCAAAACCCGTGGCGTTATATAGAGTTGGTAACGCTAAACTTCCTTCAAATTTGAGACTTTCGCCGATATTTAAGCACAGAACTGAAATATCTCCGGATGAGATAATCTCGATACCTCCCTGGCTACTTATTAGTTCCCTCAATCGCCATGAAATTTGCAGTTTCTGTCTTAAAATTCCTCCTTCTTTAATGAATTTTTCTATTACCAATCGCGTTCCTGTCTGTTCGCTAAAAATCGTCACGTTTGTTTCTTCAAGAGCTGTAATGACTACATATATGTAGTCGAATTCACGATACCCATTTCGAGATGTAAATGTGACGAAGAAGTGTTTTCCATAACTAGTCTGTGTACCTGGAAGAACGTATAATTGATTAGACAAGCTCATCCCGGAAAATATATATCTGCTGCATGCTGATATATAGCAACAAATCCGGACGTGCTGATGTAAGTAAGGGGGGGGGACTGGGGAATACAAATGTTCAGCATCATGTTAACTTCTTGTATAGGAATATACGATATTTTTCAATTCAGTCAAGATAAATTGAGCGAATTTTTAAAATTTCCCGCCATGTCGTGAAAATACAATTGGTCTTAATTGTTTTGAATTCAAAACTAAATTCAGTAACGTTAGAAATATAACGAAAACACTTAAAAGACATCGTTAGAAAAGTAAGTGAAATTTATTTTACCTTTTTATGAGTCACCCTCGTACATAAAATCCATAACTTCTCGCAACCATTTAATATCATAATCATGATGGCAGTGCATACCTAATTTTAGTGTGCAGTGATAACCCTTTGTGCACTGATAAAAGTAGAATGTGCAGTGCTTCTCAACAGACCTCACTCTGCTCAGAAATGCTAGAAATCAAGTCATAAGAACGCAAAAATACAGAAAAATTTCTGCAAGAGGTCCTGCAGACCCCCTAAAATTCTACCATCTTTAAATTACCAATTTCCTGTTAGGACCGTTTTTATCATGCCCCTCTTTACTATACCATTGTTATGATAGGTGCAGTGACAAAAAATTCTTAAAATTTGCTATAGTGGATCTAACGAATGATACATATAAATTATGTGCTACGCATATAAACTATTAGTCAATGGGCATCAGGCATATAGTCATACTCATATACAGTCATGTACAGGATGTATCAAAACGAAGGTCAATCATGGCCAGAAATGCAGTCCATGCAGTAAGTGGCGAGGTTGGTGGTCTCATGCAGTTTAGTTTTCATTTAATTATATAGATCGATCAGCATTTGCCAAAAGACAATTCTCGATTGTTCTTATTCCATCAATCAACTAAATAAATAATCTAATACAGATTCGGCTCGATTATAAAAACAAACTTATGAAAATTAATAGTTAGAGTAGAGGGTAAGATAAAAAATGACCAACTTATCGCTTAGTTCGCATACTTAATATTCAAGCCATATTGCATTATTATTGCGTCATATATAGCAACAGCTAAAGGAAATATTAGTGGCGATCAAACAAAATCACTCTACGAAATTGATAAAATTAATCGCATTGGGAAACGCATCAAACGTCAACCTCTTAAGCATTTTCTAACGCGCTGCATGAGTTTGTATGCAAAAACTGCTGAGTATAGGCCAAAACGCCACATGACGTCAGAAACCCATGCACCACAATATCCCTCATTACACTTACCTTTGAACCTCGACTTGTAAGACGGGACTTGCGATAAAATTGACTTTTCATCTTGAGAAAAATATCAAAAGCAAGATTATTCTATTTTTTCCAATTAGATCCAAGTAAAGCATACTAGTTTCATCTACGCGGTAAATCTAACTAGTTTTCCGCTCAGTGCTTTTTAAAATGATACAAAATATTAGAATTTGTTTCATGTAAATTTATGCTTTCACGCAGTTGATAGTTCACTAAACTGAACATCAAAACAATTCAACACAGCTTAGAAAGCACACAACTGGACAACACATTTTACTCTAATTTGATTATTCATACCGCACTGTAGCTAAAGCCTAAACATAATAAGTTAACGTATAGCAATTATATAGCATAAAGATCACGCAGCAGGCAAAAATTTAAGCTTATACCTGCAGCAAATAGAGAATGGATCTAACTGTATTGAGAGCTACAGTACCGGCAAATTCAAAACAGGTCAAAGCTACCTAACACATGCGCCGGGACAGAAAATTGTTTTGCGAATTAGGAGATTACTTATTACTACTTGCGTTCCCTCGGTCGGATTTCCCACACACGTAACATGCAGTAAACAATTAATGCGTTTCGATTACTATTATTACAATACATTACAATACAAACAATTTATTTATAGACACGGAGGAATCTTCAGTTAAAAATACAACTGGTTTACAAAATTGCCGTGGGAATGTGGTTGTATAAATTAGTAAAATAATCATTTGTAGCTTTCTTAAATTGAGGAAAGAGGGTAAAATCACGCATTTCTTCAGGAAAGCTGTTCCATAGCAAAGCCCCGTTAGAGCATAAGCTACGCGTTGATTATTTCTAAAATTGATTATTTCTAAAATCATACTCAGAATTTCGAATAGAAAACAAGGTTTGTAAATATGGAGAAATATTTCCTTTTAATATTTTAAACATCAACTGAGCCTTCAATTTTTACGTCGTATATAGAGATTATCTAATCGGAGCATTTAACTATGCTCAAACTAAGCTTATTAGTTGTAAGCCAGTTATTCAGATTTTCTAATACACGGTTAGTAACAAATTACATTTTGTCCAATGAATTAGCGGAATAACTGATACTCGTATGAGTCGTATCGTCTAATGTCAAAAGCTGTCGTTCCGCTTTTGCTATACCAACTCCACGATATAAAATTCATTTATTGCATTTAAATTGCCTATATCACTTGTGGGATCTTTGCGGATTTGAATAGGGCTTAAAAAATTTGTTTATACGTTCTACAACCTTTTTTGATATAATAAATAGTTTCAAAAATTCATCGGTTGGGGGGACTGGGACTCAGGAATGATTTGCAAACACGCCGTCTTTTATAATGTAAACATGAAGAGTTTCACTGGCGATATAGTTTATGCTTTTTCTCAAAATATTTTACGTCATTGGAAGATCGAAGTAAAATTACAATTGATTATATTATGTTTTACAAGAACTCGGTTCTTGAGTCCCAGGCACCCGAGCACGACGGAAGTTTAAGCAAATCGTCATGATTAGATGTAGATATTTCCGAAACTATTTAACTATATCAAAAAGGGTTCTAGAACTTATAAACTAATTTTTCAAGCTCTATTCAAATCCGTAAAGATCCCACAAGTGATATAGGCACTTTAATAATTCTACGCGAATTTCTTTGGATGAACTTTAACTCGAGTAAATTTTACTAGCCAAATTAAATTAAGCTCACTCAGTATCAATGAAGTTACGAAAGAAAAATTTGCCTTTGGTTTCATTAGCGAAGTTATTTAGATGTCGTACATGCATCACAAATCCTAATAATTATATAAGACTCTCTAAATCATCGTTTGACGAATGCAGTAAGCAGTGCCCAATATAAGTTTTTATTTTGGGTTTGCAGACTCATATCGTAAGGTCATTGTCTGCATATCTAATTGTAAGCTATTTGAATTTAGTTGGTATGTAAATTGCTCGGCTGGCTACAATACTGCATTGTATAATACTCACCAGCAGAACAGAATACGAACTGAAAGCAAAATATGACGCCAGTTGTTAACAGGAAGTTTATCATCTTCAGAGATTTTGCGCTGCACAGCAAAAAATCATTTTCTTATTTCAAGAAAAAAAAACTCATTTTAAGAAAATTTTCTTAAAATGAGTTCAAATTTTCTTGGGAGAATAATAAGAAAATTTTCTTACTTTTTTTCTTAAGAATTTTTTTCTTGAGAAAATTTTCTCAAAATAAGAAAAGTTGCACACAAATAATTTCTCAGTTTAAGTAAATTTTCTTGAAATTAGTCCAAAATTTCTTACAGAATGTTCATAATGAGAAAAATTTTCTTAAGAAATTTTTCTTAATATAAGAAATATTTCCAACAAAATATTTTCTTATAATAAGAAAAGTCATTCTCAAGCAACGCTATAAACTCTGACATGATATTTTGTTATAAGTAAGAATGTAATGTAAATTTACTAAAATATCTATGAGTCATAATATAGAATACACAGCAGACATTAATACATGAGAATTATAGGCCCTACATGATTATATAGAAATACAGAGAAATTATTATATATAATATTGCACCACGGCTTTGAAGGTTTTGTATTTGTCAAGTGTTTATTTGACATGTTTTTAAATATCAATTATTGCAGTACAGATCAATTATTGCAAAAGAATTTTTGTGGTGCTTAAAATCAGATGAGACGTCATCAGATAAATTTGAGAGTAAATAATTTAAAGATTGGTGTGAA